CCCCTCCCCTGTTTTTCTCAACCTTTGCCCATTTAAAGTGGTGGGGACTACACCCCCAAAATTACCCACGCCAGCATTGTTGGCGGGGGAATTCTGGGAGTTGAAGTCCACTCATCTTAAAGTGGCCAAGGTTGGACAACACTGGCCTAAGCACTTGATTCATACAGATGGGCTACAGGCAGGTTAGCTGGCGCTGCCCTGTGATTTGCAGAGCAGCAAGAACTTCTGACTTCCAGTATTCTAACAGTAATAGCAAAACCCTTTCTCCTCCAAGGATAGTCTGCTGAAAACAAAGGAGGTGGTAGAGGAGAAGGGTACAAACAGATTTGGGTGCAGGCCTCAGTTCCATTGAAATCAAGTTCTGGAGCTGAGCATGCATTCAGAATCATCTTCTGTAGTTTGGAAGGTCCCATCTGTCATTCTCACAGACTTCACATGGCTGTAGAGATTTTCAAATACAGTTAATTAACAAGGAAGGCCTTTTCAAACAATGGAAAACAGTATGACACAGGGACATTATTTAAAACTCCAGAGTATTTTTTTAGTGATAATAGCATATAATAAGTATCCTATTTCTGGGTTCCCACATAATAATAAGTCTTAAACTAGGGATTACAAACCAGAGTGGCTGCTTAGGGATTATTAAACTCAGTTGTTAACAATGAATCTGAGATGTAATTCTTACAAATGCTATCTATCTTACTGTGCCAAAACCAAACTTACCATATAATGGCTCAGTGCAATATGAGCACAGTCTAACCATATCAGCTGAAGGCGGAGAAGAAAGTTCTGCTTTCTGTTTAGTGCAATCCATCTTATATCTTATGGTTGTCTTTCTGCAGTAGTATTGTGGTAGAGAACTTTTCTTGTAAGAATTTTTTTCTGTGCCATCCTGTACCCTAAAACAAGGCAGCCAATACACCTCTAACCATCTAAATTCAAATAATTAAACTTAAAGTATACGGCAGTATATGGGTAAATGTGAAGTTGTAATGGTTGTGTTCAGCATTATCCCATGGAACTTGTAATATACTGGGGGGAAATGCTTGTTAACTGCTTGCCATTTTTGTAATGTATATTTGTTTATTAATTATCTCAAGAGAACTCTGTCCTACAAGCCAGTCTAGAAATCCTTTAAAAGAAAGGATGAATGGTTTGGCTCCAGTTTTAAATGATGCAACAGGTTTCTAGAAGCGGATTTATCTGCTTCCTCCCCATGAAAACCTTTTCAAAATCCCATCCCTTTAAAATGAAATACCATGTGGGAAGAAACTGCTGAGTTAGGTAGACTCTGGTGCACAGAGAAAGGGAGTAATCAAAATTGGACAGAGGCATTTGCCATGAACTTAGTTCTGTTCATGAAAGGGCCTAGCTACCCCTCCCCCAGCCATTTCCTGTCTCAGCCTAATTTTCAGGGAACAAAAAGGCTACCATGAAGAGGGGGAGCTGGGAAAATTGTTTTATATCTTATGGTTGTCTTTGTGCAGTAGTATTGTGGTAGAGAACTTTTCTTGTAAGAACTTTGTCTGTGCCATCCTATACCCTAAAACAAGGCAGCCAATACACTTCTAACCATCTAAATTCAAATAATTAAACTTAGAGTATATGGTAGTATATGGGTAGGTGTGAAGTTGTAATGGTTGTGTCCAGCAATGTATTCATATAAATTTTAATCTAACAAATAAGACCCGAAGTACTGTATCTCAGGTACAACATTTTCTCTTGAGTGTTTCTAACCCCACAACAAAAACAAAAAATGTGTGTGTTAGAATTTAATGGGCTCTGAGAATACAGTAGTTGCTGGAGAAACTAAATGTGCAAAGAGAACCACAATTGTAATGAATTGCTCATAAAGAATCAGAATTAGCCAATCTAGACTACAGCAAATATAAAATGATGCTTGTAATAATTTACTGAGGTTCTTACTCCTTTTCCTGAAGAACTTTCCCAATCACTCACTGCAAGATCTTAAATTTGCTTAATCCCACTAGTAGGATGTATAACAGTCTTATTTAAATATTCTCTTCCTTTCTAGTTCAAACATTCATCTACAATGGCAGACAACAGACCAAAGGCTGACTCCACATCCTGCAGTGTATTAAGCTGGGAACAAGTCGGTCGCTTGCATGAAATCCTGTCAGAGGTGGTACCAATTCATGGACGGGGAAATTTTCCAACTCTGAAGATAACCTTGAAGAAAATAATCCAGACTGTTCGGTGCAGGCTGGAAGAAGCAAGCATTCTAGTGCATGACGTTCGACTGAATGGTTCCACAGCTGGTCATGTCTTGGTCAAAGATAATGGGCTGGGTTGTAAAGATCTAGATCTTGTTTTTCAAGTGTCCCTCCCAAGTGAGACTGAATTCCAGTTGGTCAAAGATGTGGTTCTGCAGTCCCTTTTAAATTTTTTGCCGGAAGGTGTGAACAAACTCAAGATTACTCCCATGACTCTTAAGGAAGTATATATTGAAAAGTTGGTAAAGGTATCCACTGAAATTGACCGATGGAGCTTAATATCTCTTTCTAACAAACATGGCAGAAATGTAGAGCTCAAGTTTGTGGATCGTATAAGGCGGCAATTTGAGTTCAGTGTGGATTCTTTTCAAATAATACTAGACTCACTGCTTTTTTATTATGAGTGCTCAGAAAACCCAATGTCTGAGCACTTCCATCCAACTGTAATTGGGGAAAGTATGTATGGTGATTTTGAGGCAGCCTTTCTTCATCTTAAGAACAGACTGATAACTACCAAGAACCCTGAGGAAATTAGGGGAGGGGGGCTCCTCAAATACAGCAATCTCCTTGTGAGGGATTTCAAGCCCATGGACAAAGAGGAGATTAAAACCTTAGAACGCTACATGTGCTCAAGGTTCTTCATAGACTTCCCAGATATTCTGGAACAGCAGCGTAAATTGGAAACGTACCTGCAGAATCACTTCGCTGAAGAGGACAGAAGCAAATACGACTACCTAATGACCTTGCGGAGAGTGGTGAATGAGAGCACAGTATGCCTCATGGGACATGAACGTAGACAGACACTGAACTTGATCTCCCTTTTGGCCCTCAGAGTTCTTGTAGAGCAAAACATCATCCCTAATGCTAATAATGTCACTTGCTACTATCATCCAGCGCCTTATGTTAGTGATGCAAACTTCAGCAGCTACTATGTTGCAGATACTTATGGCCAGGTATGTCCTACCTGGTTGCCTTGCAATTGATTTCTTATTTTCAGTGCCTCTATTCAGCCAGAATGGAGTGTTTCCTGTATTTATCTTGGCTACTTAGAGACAAATAGAACTAACATACCAAGCTTTAATCAGGTCATAAAATAGTACTATCTTTCTTAAAAGAGGATCTCTTTGCTATCTGTATAAATGCTTAATTGCTTCCATGCTGTCTTACTTTTTGAAGTTTCATTGTCTGCAAGTTCTGTTCCCAGTTTAATGGAAGTGATGAGGGCTAATCTGGTATTCTTGTGCAGGAAAAAATGTCTATATTCTAGCACACAATTAGCTGATCAAAACCCCACTAAAAGCAATGGAATTGAAGCAGTGTAATGCATGTAGCATTAGAGCCATTTTCCCTGAAGGTCTTAATCAGTCTCCTTCTGGCACCATAGCAGTAATTATGAAATCATCCTTAAAAGGGGGGGGGGGGAGGGGAATCCTTACATTCTATTTGGTGCATTTTAGTTTAAAGAAATTAAAGATATTAGCAACTTTATGCTGGCAGAAATGGCTTCCATAATGCATAGCATTCATGATCTCTTCTTCTCACAAGCTTCCTCAGAAATATTGGAGTTGGAGACCTCCTTGAATAAGGAGAGTGGCAGCGATGGAGGCAAAGGAAGAGGAGAACTCTAAACATTTTTTGGGAGGGCAGCATTAGCAATGGAGAGCTCGGCTACCTCTTGATTTTTCCCAAAACAGAAGGCCCATCGCAGGGTTTCTTCTAGCCTGTTTGGGAGGTTGCTGGGCAAAGGAAGAAGTGGGAAAATACTTCTGCAAGGGTAATATTGGATATTTGCCTTTTACAATCCAGAAATTCTGAGTGTTTACATCTTAGGTAGCAAAGCGATTACTGGAAAACATAGAGTTTATGAATCTGGAGTTTAGAATTTTATTTTGCCCTGAAACTTGAGCATATATAGAATATAGAACGAATATTTTTCTAGAATTATACTGACACTGTAGATTTTTTAAAACTCTTTTCAGTCAAAATCCCAGGAGAGGTTTAATGAATACAAAACAAAAGGAACTGACATATGAATATATATAACCTGATTTTTTGGGGGGGCGGGGGGAAGTAATGCTATTGAAGATGTGAGCAGCAGGGCCTACAGTAGAAATGATGGTTTGAGTAGTTATCTGCGAGTAGAATGCTTCAATTAACGCTTGGTTAACACTCCAAGTTCTTGAAAAAAATGTCTTAAAAGTGAGTTCAGTTTAAAACATTTATATATTTCTAGATCTTACTATTCAGGGTTTATTGGTACTTGTCGGTTTTCAGGAAGCCTCTTAAAGTTCAAAAGTATAGAAAGGAGAGGTGGGCCCTCAGTCACAGTTGGTGAATAAATGAAGGTTTTGTAAGAAGGAAACCTGTCAAGCGTGCTTCTACAGCTCCATTGTCTTTTTCATGAAGAAGGGGCTCAAAATACTGTGCAGAGGACTTTCTCAATTGCAGTTTTCTTGTCAGCAAAGCTAGTAATAAGGAACACTTCACTACATTACTGAAGAAATTCATGAGTGATGAGCATAGATTGACTAAATCCAAATCCCAGCAGAACACCTGAAATTCCTAAATTGTCTATTAAATACAGAGAGAAAATAGAGTTTTCAACCCATAGAGCTTTCACAGGTTTCTTATTGCAAAAGGCTATTTATTATACTGGTGTATTTGTATATGTAGCATAAGCATAACATTTCCAGAAAAGGAAACTAGGTAAGATTAGGGACAGGGTCATGACAAAGAAAAAAAAATGTTTGGAAATGTTCATTACTGAGCAATATGGAATAGAAATCCTTATTTTTTTCTCAAGAGCTCAAAATAGTTTAGCTTTTTTAACATTTCTTCTGCAACTTAGAGATAGATTCTTATCCGTGCAATGGCAGATGACCACGGCTGTGCTAAAGTGCTACCACCTTTGAATTCCTTGTTGAATCAAATGGATAAACAGAAATGTTGAGCCTGTTTCAATTGCTTTAGTTAAACGACATGTTTTGCTTGACCATTTCAAATTGCCTGAATATTGTTGAAATTCATTGCATTGGATTATTCAAAAACAAAAAGAACAACTAGAAAGCTAAACAGTAAAAAGCATGGCTGATTTTCATGAAAAGATTTATCTTGCTTCCTGGTCTAGAATTGCACCTTAGGGTGAGAGGGGAATATAAAATGGGATTGTACCAAGAAGGGCCACAACAAGTTGAAGTTTCGACTTTTGTTCAACATTTAATTCAAAGCTGAAGTGCATAGTAGATGTCTAAGCCAAATTTCTTTACACTAGTAGAAACTTCTTTTGTTTGCATCTCTGGCAAGCGTGTGTTTCTTTAAATTGCAAAATTACTGTCAGTTGCTAGATAAGAGTGATAGCTTTGGTGAGGGCTGTTGATGTGCCCCTAATTTTGGTTTTCTTAAACTTGAAAGCTTAAAGTAAAATATTTTGGCCACCTGAATGTTTTGTGTCCTTTTTTGCTTCCTTCCTCTGCATCTCCATAAGATAAGGAGACTTTCAAAGAACTTTCCAGTTTGTTACCAACTTCCCAGATAGCGATTGTAACCCTGTATTCTCTCTGGTGCTCATGATCCTGCCAGAAGGTTACCTGAGTGTTATCAGTTTCTTGCCAATAGACCCCATGTAACCATCTCACTCCAATCAGGTATAACATTAATGTCCAAAGGAAGATACCTATTTGGGCAGTATGGCTGGGAAGACCCAGGTTAAAATCTACTCTCAGCTGTAGAAATTTACAGGGGCAGCCATCTGCTAGTTCAACCTACTTTGCAAAATTCTTCTGGGGGACAACAGGAGGAAAAGAATGCTATGTAATCTCCTGGGGGAAATCTAGAGTAAATAAGGTAGTTTCTTGGCCTTGGTTTTCCACAAGTTTAAGAGAGAATTAACTTCAGATGAAGACTGCCTTAAGACCACAGGCAAAGCTTGCCTTGCCTAGTCTGTCTCCTACAAAATATCCATTTTCATGAAAAGATTTATCTTGCTTCCTGTCCTAGAATTGCACCTTGGGGTGAGAGGGGAATATAAAATGGGATTGTACCAAGAAGGGCCACAAGAAGTTGAAGTTTAGACTTTTGTTCAACATTTAATTCAAAGCTTTGTTGTTTGTTTCCCTTTTATTTTCTGATGGATAATCTAGAATGGTGGGTTCTGAAATTTAGCCTTTCTGTGGAAAGATTTCTGAGAGTGGGTTGAAGCATTATCTGCTTGTACCCTTAAGTGGGCTAGATTTGAATTTCTAACTCACTGAGAACTAGGCTGTCTTAAAACCATGTGTTTGTCTTTTTAAAGCACTGACCATATTTCAGTTTGTTTTTCTATTTTTACTAAATAGATGCTAGAAGATTAAATTGGGACCTTTCAGAACAACTTGTTCTCAAGGCTTCAAAGCAAACAGCCTTTTGGTTTCTGACAGCTGTTGGTTTCAGTCTGTAAATTCCACAAATCGCTTTGCAAACCTTAAGCAGAAATGTAGATATTGCTTCAAATCAGAATGGTAGTGGTTTTAAATGTCAGCTCCTGGAGACTCCTTAAAATCATCTAGCATAACCTATTTATGCAGAAAATGTGTTTTGAAAAAGTGCATAACACTGTTTTGCAGTTCTGAAAAGAAAAGAAATAGAGAATACGTAAGTACTAGTGCCAGTGTAAGTTAATTTAATCACAGAATTGGAAAGACCATTTAAGCAGTTGAACCCAACCCCTTACTCAATGAAGGAATCCAAATTAAAGATAAATGGCTGTTTAATTTCTGTTTCAACATACCCAATGAAATGGAGTCTACAGCTGCTCTGGATAATAGTTTCCAGTAACACAACCCTTACTAAGAGGATTAAAAAAAAGTTTAATTGGAAACTCTCTTTCTCTAACTTAAATATATTGTTCCATGTCCTGCACTCTAGAATAATAGAGAACAGATACTGATCTTTTTCTGTGTGACATCCTTTCAGGTATTTGGAGAGTACCATTTCTTTCAAAGCCATACCTGCCCAGTTCTTTCAATCTCTCTTCATAAATTCCTCTAATTGTTATGATCTACTCTGATTACTCTGACTCCTTGAGGCTGATGAGGCAGTTAATCAGCATAAGTAGGTGAAGGTAGATTTGGGTGATGATAGGCCAGAACTTGGTGGGGTTCCTAGCCCTATGATGAATGGGTAGCTTCAGAGAGCAGGGCAGAGGCAATCTGTTTGGCTCTTCAAGAAGCAAGGATGCCAACATCCCTACCTGAGCCACATCTGCAGCTGGCCCTACTTCGGGGCAGCCATCAGACTGGTTCTTCATTGGAAACAACCCTCCATTGTCAGACCTTGGTCCTGCATCCTTGTGTCCTGCTCTCCTCTTTGACTCTTAGCCTTATGAGCCAGACCAGCTTATACAAGTCTCCAGAGACTGACCCCTGGACCATTCATACTTTGTGGGGATTAACCACTTTTAGGGTGAAGAATTTCTATTGCAATAAGGGTGGATATAAGCTTCCTAGAAATCTTATAGCGGGGCTTTCTCATTAGGGGTTGTCCTGGCTTCATTTTTCCTCTGGACACTCTCCTTAGGTCACTTTTGTAGTAAAGCATTTCTATTGGCAACAGGATGAAAGAAGGATAAGGTTAGGCTTCCTTGAGGTCTCTGGTTGAATGTCATTGTACGGCGTGAGGAGAGTCAGTCATTCTGGGTGAGTTTTTTTACTTAGTGGTACTTTTACCTTCGTGTTACAGTAGAATTGCTATTTAGGAAACATTTAGGTTAAAAATGTTTGATTGGTTGTATAGTGAGGTTAGGATCTGGATTGATTCCTGGATGTCTGTTGTTCACTTTGGTGTCAGGATTAGCCTTAGGATTCATTGTATGCAGGGATTTCGGTCAGTAAATTCAGTGATAAACAACTTCTCTTGCTGCAAGGATTAAGGTAGATTTAGGGTTAGACTTTCTTGAAGTCAGTGGTAAAATCTAACTCTGATTAGCTTTGGGATATTTTTATGATTTGCGCTACTGTTACATTCATAATACTGGTGGATTACCCTCCAGGAATACTTTTCCTTTTATTCTGAATACTTAAGCCATTTTTGTTGTTAACATCCATTTCCCACCTCAGCTAATTCTGAGCAATAGGTTTTTTTTTAAATCATTTGTATTCTTATGGGTTACTTGAATGTACAGTAGTCCTCCTTGTTAACCTGTCCTTTCCACCTCAAGTGCCCTCTTTAGTAAGCTCTTCATGTGGTCACATTGCCTGCTGTTCCTATCTCTTCCTCCTCCTCCTCCTCCTCCTTTTATATATATGTGTGTGTGTGTGCGCGCACGCGTGTATTTGTTTATATAGGTGCCCATCACAAGCTTGTAATTCTGGGCAGCCCAGAATTAAAAACACAAAGCCAAACAATCAATATAACTAAAACAAAATTATTAATATACAGTTAAAATAGTTAAAAAATAAGAAAAAGACAGGGGAGAGTGCACTGTAAACTTACACTGCATGCAACCATTTAACAGGCTCCACACTTCCATGAAATCCCCAGGCCTGATGGCAGAACCAGAACCTTTTAAAGGCCTTCTGGAAGGCCAATAGGGCTGGGTCCAATCTAACCTCAGGAGGGATAGATGGGTACCATGGCAGGAAAGGCTCTCCTCTTGGGTCACACCAACCAAAGCTCCTTGGCAAATGGGACCTGTAACACGTCCCTCCTGCTGGACCGGGTGGGATGGATGAATGTAACTGGGGAGAGGTAGTTCCTCAAATAACCTGGGCCCATGCCATGTAGGGCTTTAAAGATCATAACCAGCACCTTGAATTGGACCCAAAAGCAAACTGGCAACCAGTGCAGCTCACAGAGATGAGGTGTGACATGCAGTTTTAGAAGGACACATAATTGCCCGCACCACTGCATTTTGCACCAGCTGAAGTTTCCAGGTACTCTTCAAGGGCAGCCCCATGTAGAGCGCATTGTAATAATCTATTTGGGAGATGACTAGGGCCTGAGTGGCTAAGAGTAGAGCCCCCAGATCCAGGAATGGGCATACCTGGCACACAACATAAAGATGTGTAAAGGCCCTCCTAGCCACAACAGCTACCTGCTCCTTGAGTAGGAGTCCTAAGTCCAGAAGGACCCCCAGATTGCATATCAGGTCTGTATGAGGCAATGCCACCCCATCCAGCACTAAAGATGGTAAATTCCCAGATCCAGAAGGCCCCAAAACCCCAAGCCATGCAGTTTTGCCAGGATTGAACTGGAGCCTGTTGTTTCCATCCAAACTCTTACAGCCTCCAGACACTGAGACAAGATATAAACAGCATTGCTTAGTTTACCAGGGGTGGAGATGTACAGCTGGGTATCATCAGTGTACTGTTGATACCTCACCCCATGATGACAGATGACCTCACCCAGCAGTTTCATGTAGATGGTAAATAGGAGAGGAGAGAGTACTGAACTCTGGCACCCCACAATGTAGAGGCTGTGGGGAGGACCTCTCACTCCAAATCAACACCAACCAGAACTGGCCTTGGAGGAAGAAAGAGACCAGCACAATCCAGTGTTGCCCACTCCCAACCCTCAAAGCTGGTCCAGAAGGCATTGCTAAGAGGTCAAGTAGAGCAAGGATGGATGGACTACTCCCATCCTGCTCCTGCCAGAGGTCATCCAAAAGCACAACCAATGCTGTCTCTGTCCCATGTCAGGGCCTGAAACCTGACTGAAAGGAGTCAAGATAATCTGCTTTATTCAGGATCCACTGAAGCTGTTGCATGACCACCTAAAAAAGGAAGGTTGGATACTGGACAAAAGTCCAGTATGGTGGGATCTAGCAATAGCTTTTTAAGGAGGGGCAAAACAATGCCTCTCTGAGGGGCAGAGGAATAACCTCTCTCAAAGAATTCACCACCACACGTCACCTCCCAGGTGGCCTTAGCCGGCCAGAAGGGACATGGATCTAATGAGGAGCTCACAGTCATGAGGACCCTGTCCACTTCCTCAGGTTCCCAGATAACCGAACAGGACTGCGCCCAGAGCTCTCCACAGGACCTGTACCGAGGCTGACATCTAACTCAGAGTGAATCCAATCAATTTTGTCTGACAGATGCTCTGCAAATTCCTCTCTGCAGCCCTGCAGGTAAACCTCTAAGTCCTCTCTACCCAAGAGGGCTTGGGTCACCCTAAACAGGGCCACCAGTTGGCCATCAGTGGACACAATAAGGACAGAGAAGTACTGGCGCTTTGCCATCCTTACTGCCACAAGGTAGGCCTTAATAGCAGCTCTGACTCATGTTTGGGTGAGTTTGTTCCTCATTGACCTCCAGCATCACTCTAGATGTCTCTTAATCCATCAATTCTTCCATAAACCATGGAGAGTGGTGGGATCCACAGGAGGAGAGAGGTCACATATATGTATGTATGTATGTATTTTTGAGGAAGTTCCCCTTATCTTCCACTCCTTTTCC